CCCCTCCAGCAGCAGCAGCAACAGCAACAGCAGCAGCAGCAGCACCAGCAGCAGCAGGCCAAAGCAGCACGACCCAAGCAAAAGAAGGACTCAAGACGTCCCCCTAGGAAGCCAACAACAAAGGAAGCAATGCAGGTAGACCAGCAGCCGCAGCAACAGCAGCAGCAGCAACAACAACAGCAGCAGCAGCAGCAACAGCAGCAGCAGCAGCAACAACCGCTGCAGCAGCAGCAGCCGGAGCTGCAGCAGCAGTCACAATTGGGTACGTCATCTTCACAGCAGCAGCAACAGCAGCAACAACAGCAGCAGCTGCTGCAGTCTACGGGCAACTCTCAAGGTTTAGAAGCTTCGCAGGACCAGCAGCAGCAAGAACAGCAGCAGCCGCAGCAGCAGCAGCAAGACCAGCAGGACCAGCAGCAGCAGCAGCAGGAAGACCAAACCAACCCTGCTGCTGCTGCAGCTGGTTCTCCTGTGCTGCTGAAGGATGCCGCCCCTATGGGCATCTGAGGGAGAGCTGCAGCAGCAGCAGCTGCTGCTGCAGCTGCTGCAGCATTAATAGCCGCGGCAGCCCATCAGTTTTGTTGTGGGATCTATTGGCTGTTGCTGCTGCAGCATAACAGCAGCAGCAGCAGCAGCAGCCAGGTTAGCTAGCATGACATCTGGGTAGCTAGCCAGCTAGCTACTAACAGGTCTACCTATGACGCTAGCTAGTCAGCTAGCTAGCTAGCTAGCTAGCTAGCCATGAGGCTAGCTAGCTAGCTAGCTATAAACTCAGCTAGCTATGGAGCTAGCCAAGCTATAAAGCTAATTAGCCAGCTAGCTAGGAAGCCAGTTAGCTAGCTAGCTAACTATATAAACCTAGTTAGCTAGCTAGCTAGCCAATTAGCTAGCTAGCTAGCTAGCTAGCTAGGAGGAAAGAATTCGTTAATTTTCTTTTAGTTTGATTGTTTGGGCAGTTTTAGTTTTTAATAAGATTCTTTGCAGTCTAATAAACCCTAAACCCTAAACCCTAAACCCTAATTACTGAATTGTTCCTTAATTATACATCTATAGTACATAATAACATTAATACAATTTATTAAGAAAAGAAAAAAAAAGAAAAAAACACTAATAAGGAGAATAAGAGTTTATATATAAAATAATAAACACTAATAAGAGGAATAAAAGGGAATAAATAAAGGAAAAAAAATTATATAATTATATAAGCGGGGGGAGAAAAAAAGAGAACAATTAATTATTTATTATTAATTATATTATAAATAAAAGTGAATAAAAAGGGTAAAAAAAATTATATCTTATTAAGAAGAAAAGTTTTATACACACCAACAACCCCACCATAGTAACACACTCCTCCTTCTTACTATTAGGAAAATATTATTACCAATGTTGTTACCACCAACCCCACCAACCTCACCACTATAAACACACTAACAATAATAAGAAGACATAAATAATAGGAAAATGGCACGGAAATGGGGCCAACAAGATAAGCAAGAATGGGGGGCCCCACCATAGTGGCATAGGGGGCCCCCCACTGTTGGGGGGCCCCCCACTGTTGGGGGGCCCCCCATGCCTGTAGCCTATAGTATAGGAGGGTATTATGGAGAAGAGGTTAATAGCAGCAAATGTCAGGCTGGAGGACGCGCGTTCGATTCCCCCGACCCACAGAGAGAACCCACATCGCAGCAGCAGCAGCAGCAGCATCAACAGCAGCAAGGGGCCCCCCATACGCGCTGTATGTAATAAAGGGGTACACAGAATAGGGTTTAGGGGTTAGCCAGCCCCCTAGATGGGAGGTTAAGGCGTACAGATAATATGCAGGCGGTCCAGGGTTCAATTCCTTATGAGGAGGAATCAGTGCCCAACAGTATACACATATGCTGCGGTGGGCCCCTAGGGGGCCGCAAACGGGGCAAGCAGGGGGCCCACAGGGGACCCATAGGGGGCCCCAGCCGTATGTCTGTAAGGGACATACATAGTTCGCCAAAATATCGCACGACACTGAGCGCATGCGCCTGCAGCAGCAGCAGCAGGAATGCTCGTGTCCTTGGAGGGGAGGAAGACAGGAAGCCAAGCCTGTCTGTTGCCCTACCTACCCCTACGGAGGGGCCCAGGACCGCTCATAGAAGGAGATGAAGTGCAACCGGGGCCCCCAAGACACAAGAGGGGCCCCCTCCTCCCTATACCCTCCATGGGCTACATGAACACCTACCACCAGCAATAGTATCTGGACTAGATGCTGGATTCCCAGGAGGAGATCGATTTCTCCTGCAGCGGCAGCAGCAACGGCAGGAGCAATAGAAGCAATAGCAAGAGCAGCAGCAGCAGCAGCAGCAGCAGCAGCAGCAGCAGCAACAGGATTAGCTCTAGAGGCAGAGCTGATGGCCTGCCCCCTGTATAATAATAATGCTGTGCCCCATAGGGGTCGGGGTGGCTAGATAGTTATCTAGCTAGCTAGCTAGCTAGCTGTCTTGCTAGCTGGAGAGTTGATGAAGCAGGAGCAGCAACAGCTGCAGCAGCAGGAGAGGCAGGCAGCAGCAGCAGCAGGAGTAGCAGCAGCAACAGCAGCAGCAACAGCAGCAGCAGGGATTAGCTAGCCGTCAGGCTAGGTGGCTAGCTAGCTAGCTAGCTAGTATGCCGCTAGTGCATCCCTACAGCAGCCCCTCTAGCTAGCTAGCCAGCTAGCCAGCTACTTAGCTAGCTAGCTAACTAGCAACAGCAGCTAGCTCCAGCAGCAGCTAACTGGTTAGTGGAGATGCCTCTAGGGTTTAGGGTTTAGGGTTTGGCGAGGGTTTGAGTGTTTAGGGTTAGGGTTTGTTGATGCCAACAAACCACGAACAAGTGGAGGGCGGCAAGTTAAGGGACGTGTTGCTGTTGCTGCTGTCGCTGTTGCTGCTGCTGCTGCTGTTGTTGCTGCTGCTGCTGCTGCTCTTGCTATTGCTTCTATTGCTGCTGCTGCAGCTCTAGCAGCAAGTGAGGGCACCATGTATATGCTGTACTGCTGCTGCTGCTGCTGCTAGCTACTTGCCTACCTACTGAGTTAGCTAGTTAGTTAGCTAGCTAGCTACCCTGCTAGCTAGCTAGCTAGTTAGTTAGTTAGCTAGCTAGCTAATTAGCTAGCTAGCTGCCCGTGGGGTGTCTTTATTGTTATGCTCTGTGTAATAGAAGACCCATAGTTGAGCTAAACCCTAAACCCTAAACCCTAGCACCCCGTAGTCCTCGAGGGCAAACCCTAGGCCTACTAAAACCTCGAGACTAAACCCTCGAGCTGTTGTTGCTGCCGCCTTTAGTATCTCGCTCTAGCCGCTTTGCTGCTCTCGTGCAGCAAAGCAGCAGCAGCACAGCAACAGTAGCAGCAACAGCAGCAGCAGCAGCAGCAGAAGATGTGTTACCTGCCTATAAGAAAATATTGCAGATTAAATATATTTATGAATTCATTGAACTTTAGTCAGTAACACCAGCAGGAGCAGCAACAGCAGCAGCAGCAGCAGTAGCAGCCGTAGTAGCAGCAAGTAGAAGCAGCAGCAGCAGCAGCAGCAGCAGCACAGAAGACCGGCGATCTTCTGGGGCTGGCTCTGTGTGTGCGTGGGGTGTATAAGCAGATAAGAGGTATATGGGTAGGAGCAAAGACATTAACTGATCCTTCTCTTAGGCCTATGCAGGTAATTAATTAATTAATTAATTAATTAATTAAATTAATTAATTAATTAATTAATTAATTAAATTAATTAATTTAATTATAATAATTAATTAATTTAGTTATATTAATTAATGTTATTATATTGGTTTGCTTGTTGTTTATTTACTCATTTATTTGTTTATTTATTAACTTTATTTATTTATTTATTTATTTATTCATTTCTTTATTTATTTTTTTGTTTATTTATTTTATTTACTCATTTATTTGTTTATTTATTTATTTTTTATTTTATTTTTTTTTGGTTATTCTTTTTACTATTTTCTGTGCATTTATTTATTTATTTTATTTATTTATTTATTTATTTATTTGCTTATTTATTTATTTATTTATTTATTTATTGTTTTATCTATTTATGAATTTATGTATTTGTGTGTGTATTGCTGCTGTTGTGTTCCCACTGTCTAAAGCAACCCTGCTGCTGCTGCATCTGCTGCTGCTGCATCTGCTGCTGCTGCATCTGCTGCTGCTGCTGCTGCTGCTGCATGTGTGCTGCAGCATTCAACGATGTTAAATGAAATAAATGCACAAGAGCAGCAAATCCTTCATGTTTACCGGCAGCTGCAGCAGGTAGGCTTGCGGTTGCTGCTGCTCCTGCTGCTGTTGCTGCTGCTGTTGCTGCTGCTGTTGATATTGTTGTTATTGGTACTACTTTTTACTGCTGTTGCTGTTGTTGTTGCTGCTGCTTCTACTGCTGCAGCAGGTGCTGCTGGATATCCTGTGCTGCTTCTTTAGTGCTGCTGTCTCATCCTTCTTACTTCTGCTGCTGCTGCTGCTGCTGCTGCTGCTGCTGTTGCTTCTTCTGTTGTGTGCTGCAGCGGTTGCTGCTAATACAAGAGAGACACACCATAGAGAATTCAAAGCTGCAGCTGCTGCAGCAAGCACAGAGTCTTAGTGCACATATGGAGAAGGCTGCCCTTGAGTCTGCTGCTGCTGCTGCTGTTGACGGGCAGCAGCAGCAGCAGCAAATGCAACAGCAAGTACAACAGCAGCAAGTGCTGCTCATGCAGCAGCTGCTGCGCCGTTTTGCCGGTCAAGAAGCACCACAGAATATGCAGAATCTGCTGCTGCTGCTGCAGCAACAGCAGCAGGATCGATTCGCCTGTGGGGCGGAGCAGCAGCAGCAGCAGCAACTCATGCTGCAGCGCATGCTAGCTTTGCCAGGGATGCAGCAGCAGCATCTGCTGCAGCAGCAGCAGCACATGTTCATGCAGCAGCAGCAGTTGATGATGGCACACAACATGGATCAACATCTGCAGCAGCAGCAAAAGCTTCTACAGTATCCAGCTAGGCCCCTCCAGCAGCAGCAGCAACAGCAACAGCAGCAGCAGCAGCACCAGCAGCAGCAGGCCAAAGCAGCACGACCCAAGCAAAAGAAGGACTCAAGACGTCCCCCTAGGAAGCCAACAACAAAGGAAGCAATGCAGGTAGACCAGCAGCCGCAGCAACAGCAGCAGCAGCAACAACAACAGCAGCCGCAGCAGCAACAGCAGCAGCAGCAGCAACAACAACCGCTGCAGCAGCAGCAACAACCGCTGCAGCAGCAGCAGCCGGAGCTGCAGCAGCAGTCACAATTGGGTACGTCATCTTCACAGCAGCAGCAACAACAGCAGCAGCTGCTGCAGTCTACGGGCAACTCTCAAGGTTTAGAAGCTTCGCAGGACC